GGGGGGGGGGGGGTCCTGGCCCCCCGCAGGACCCCCCCTCCCCTGGTTGAGACTGATAATGTTCCAATCTTCGTGTTGGATTGAACATTTTTGTAATGCCGTATAAGTGGATAGTTCTGATTCCCTTTTGTCAAGCTAATATTTCTTTCCAATATTGGCATACTGCTTTGTAATCTGTTTTTAATTCTACTTGACCTGTGACCACCAATTTAAGTGTCCTCAATATTAACAATTTGTTTTTCCGTTCATCGTTTACTATTTGAAAGTACTGTATGTGTTTCTTCGTCTTCAATGTTTTCCAAATCAATTAGATCAGAGCTCTCATGCACATGTTTGTTGTTTAAATAATCACAATTTGAAATATCATTAAGATCACTAAATTGTGATTTAATGGCGGAGAGAGAGTGGAAGTCCGAGCATTTTCTAGTGTGGAGTCACCGAATATTTTTTGGAACTCAATAATCACCAACAATCCATTCGAAATTGGAATAGTATATGAAAGAAACTAGAAATAGGCCATTGTATTGTAGAGAAAATGTAGCTCAAAATTGTACAATAAAAGAACTAATTAGTTGAATTGCAAGACCTAATTGTATTGTTGAAATTATAATATTAGACTTAAATGAGAACTATAGAACGTAGAGAGAACTGTGGTAAGGGAAAATAAAGAGCGTGGAAGGGTCTACTAATATGAATAGAATTAGAAAATTGCTATTCATCTCCAGTGGAGATGCATCCCCTGTCTATGTGGATGTAAATGATTGGTTAAATGATAGGTGAAATTAAATGACTTATTTAATTTCACCTATCATTTAATGTCACATTAACGCCATATAGATTGGGAATGCATCCCCAGTGGGGATGAATAACATTTCTCATAGAATTATGAAAACAAAAATGATCATTGAAAAGTAAAAAAATTTGAAGAAAGTGTCATGTTTGTTGATTGTTTGGCCTACGAATTGAGCAAGATCATGGGCCAAAACGAGCTTGGCCTACGAGCCCCTCGCACGAGCGACTCGACTCTTCAAATTTTTTAGGTCTCGACTTCGAACTCATCCCTAACAAATCAGAACGGTTCATCAATCGAGCTCGAGCTCATGAGCGATTTGGTCTATTTGCCGTCCCTAGGTGAAGGTGATGGGTAAAATAATAAATTCTTATTGAGAAAAAGCAAATTAAAGATTTAAAAATGAAAGACATTGGAGTATGTGCACAAAATGCTTTTAAAGATTTCAACAATGCTACATACGTTTTTTCTTTTTTTCCCAAAAGTTTTAAGAGAATTTCTAGAGGTGTCAATGGGTCGGGCCTAGCCGACTCGGCCCATTGACCCACGAGCTCGTGGCTCATGTGCTGCTCGTGGGCCGAGCCGAGCTTTAGCTCGTGGCTCGGGTAATTTTTTTTCTTTTTATATTAATAAGTTATGTCTTTTTTTTTAAAAAAATGAATTTTTGGACGAGCCCACGAGCTCGAGCCGCTCGTGAAAAATGAGCCGAGCTGGGCTCAGCTCGCCTAGCGAGCCCGCCGCTCGACTCGTGCTCAGGCTCGTCTTTTGACGAGCCCGAGTGGCTCGTAGCTCGGTGGCAACGAGCCGAGCCCACGAGCCGGCTAAGCTTGATTGCCACCACTAAGAATTTCACTTGGTATAGTCTAATTGATAGTTGACCCAAAAAAAAAAAAAAAAAAATTCAATTGTGATACACAAATAGGCTCAAATACGGGTTCAAAAACAAGGGAATAATTGTTGTCAATCGCAATTCGAAAAAAATAAAAACACTAACACTCAATTATATTTTTGTCACATCATTATGTTCCTTCATTCATGTCCTTGAGTTTGTCAAAAGAAAAAGTTCGCAAATTTGGTGTTGCCAACGCATCACTAGTAAAGAATCTGTAAATAAATCCTACAGACTTAGCCACTGTTTGATCCACATTATTTCCAAATTCATTTTCAATCACATATTTTTGAATAAAATAATTTTTTATCACCTCCAAAACTTTTCCTTATTTTTTAATTACATATTTTCTATCACATCACTGTTTAAAATACATTATTCCCTCGATAACGTGCATCAAATACCCTGGGAAATATCTGCAAATGACCTAAATAAAAGGTAATATTTCCAAACTAGCCTTTGACCATTTTAAACATATGAACCTACCTAAAATACTCCAACATAAAAATTCATCCAAGTCATTATAATATAGAAAGATTTCAAAGAAACCCTTAAAAATTCCACTATAAGATTCCAACCTTTAATTTTATTTTGGGTAATTGGCGCAAAACATCCCTACCTTTGCCTATTTTTGTGGAAAACGTTCATACCTTTCGTTTCTTGACGCAGAACGTCCATACCTTTCACTTTTTTTGCGCAAAACGTCATTTTCCCTAGATTTTAACGAAAAATGACCATTATACCCTTCAATTTAAATAAAATAAAAAGGAAAAGAAGAGAAAAATAAAAAACAAATTGTAATATTACTCCTACACTTTTTAAAAAATGCAAATCAGTCCAAAACACTAATTTAATTTCACCCAACATCACAAATTCTAATTCTCTTCCTCCATTCCCTCTCTGCAACAAAACTCAAATTTTTCAATTCCCAAAACTCCACAACAATTAGGCAAGGAAATCCACCCGAATCCGACTATAATCCTATTGATATCAGAATTAAACTCAAACAAATGGCCAAGATTATCAACAATGGCCATACAGACAACATAAAAAGCCCTGCAGGCGGTAGGGGAGTCGATGGTGAAGCGGCGGGATATTGCAGAGAAGGGGGCAGCGCGGGCCAGGCGGAAGAAGGTGGCGGTTGAAGCTCCGGTTGAATTTCACCCGAAAGTTTGTTGTTCTTTAGCGTTAATGCGAGTAACTGAAAACAGCCAACAATGTTCAAAGGGATCGAGCCTGATAACAAGTTGTGTGACAAATCAATCACTTGAAGATATGTCAGATTTCCAATTCTCTCTGGAATTTCACCTGTAAGAAGATTGTGAGAAAGAAACAATGCCTGCAAACTTTCAAATCAGATAATGATAGATCAAGAAGTAANTCAGTTAATGATGCTGGAATATCTCCAGTGAACTGGTTATGCGATAGATCAAGTAGTAAAATTCCAGACCTCTCGGCTTTCTCAATAATACCACTTGGAAGATTTCCCAACAATTCATTAAAACTCAAGTCCAAAACAACCAACTTCTCTGAGAAAACTAATCTTGGGGAAATCCTATATCTCACTGCATTGTGGGACAAATTTAAGCGTGTCAACCTACGAAGACCAGAAATACAAGCCCTGATTACTCCCACAATTGAGTTATTTGCTAAATTAAACAGCGACATTGATTCAGCTGCTGACAAGAAACAAGGCAAAGTGCTAGATAACCAATTCGACTCGACATTGAGATACACCAAAGCTTGATGAAATTCAACAAGATTTCCCATCAGATAATTGTGAGACAAATCCAAGCCACTGGATTACCCATTATGCTAGAACCCATTTCAGCAGGCACCACCACTGGACTTGACGCCTGCATAATTAAGCTCTCTCTGTTTTTTGCGGTCCTGAAAAGCACAGGATTCATTGAGCGCAAAAACCCTCCATTTTTAGTCTGAACAAAACGACCCAAACTTTCTGCAAGGGGAGGCAGCTGCGGAGGATTCTGGGGAAGTACATCAATTGGACTCCCAAATACACCCAAGCTGCTAAGTGGAGAATGTTGAAAGGTCCTTTCATTTAAGCCCCACTCAACCATTAAAGCTTCAGTCTCCAAGTCCTCCAACGTTGAGGCCCTTGTTTTAGTCCTCATGACCTCAGTTGGGTTTTTGTGATGTTGGGTGAAATTAAATTTGTGTTTTGGATTGATTTGCCCTTTTTAAAAAGTCCAGGAGTAAGATTACAATTTATTTTTTATTTTTCTCTTCTTGTCCTTCTTGTTTTATTTAAATTGGAGGGTATAATGGTCATTTTTCGTTAAAAATTAGGGAAAATGACGTTTTGCGCAAAAAAAGTAAAAGGTAGGGACGTTCTGCGTCAATAAACGGAAGGTATGGACGTTTTCTACAAAGACAGGCAAAGGTAGAGACGTTTCGCGCCAATTATCCTTTATTTTGAGATTTATTTGATAACCTTAATTTTTAGATTTATTTGATTTTTGTTTCCTCGTAATAGCACCCCTCTAATTGGTATCAGAGCTATAGAGATCATGAAAATTACAAAAGTAAATAAATATTATATTTCGAAATACGTTCCTTGGATTTCGAAATACGTTAATTGGAAGTTCTTCTTAATTTTTCTTTTTTGAATTTGAAATTGTTTGAATATAGTTGTATTTGGTGTACAACTTGTAGCATTGAATTTATTTACTTCAAAAATGATAATTTGATTCGATTCATTAAATTATATATTTGAATTATTAATCAGATTAGTTTGGTTTTGCTGTGTCTATCATTCGTATACCCCAGAAATTATAGTCTCTAACCATCACATCGATGCTTATCGCTGGGAGAGAAAAAGTAGCAATTTTTGAGTTTTTATTTTAAATTTTTTTATTAATTTAATGTGTTTTTTATGGTTTGATAAAGATGATTTTGTTTTACTGGAGTTCAATAATTTCAAGAAAAAAACGCAATTTCCTCTTTCTTCTTCTTCTCTTGAAGACAATTTTGATTTCATTTTTCATTTTTTTGCCTGGTTAATAAATTTGTGAGTCTCTATTTTAATCTTTGTTTTTCTTTTCTCTTTAATGCAATTTCTGTAGGGTTTTAGAAATGTGATTTTGCTCTGGAGTTGGGTAAATTTTAAGAGAGATTACATTCTGGAAACAATCGTGGGATTTATATTGAATTTAAGGTACAAAGTTTACCGATCTGAATTGGGTTTTCAATTTCAAGTTATTTTCTTAATCTTTCTTGGTTTCTGTGATTTTATTTTTTGAAATGGAAAGAGTTTTACATTTTCATTTCTTCTATGCAAAGTGGTAGATCTTGTTATGGAATTACTTGCTGCGTTGATTTTTTTATTCATTTTAAGTTGTATTAGCGTGTTTATTGAGCTTCATATCTTTCATTAATTGTCGATTTGGCTGACTGGGATGTGAATCTTATACATTTTGTGTGATGTAGACTATAAATCTTGCTGCAGTCTGCATTCCAGCGGATTATAACACACATCCTCTTGATATAATCTCCAACAACTTCATTGATGGTCTCCTGGTGGTATGTCTTAACTCACCTTGGTTGGTGCTCACTTCTGAATTGATGTATGATGTAATATTGGTTTAACAGATTCGGTAACAACTAAAACATGAGCCTTACTGATTGTGAGAACAAGTGCGTGCATGATTGTTCATGTGTTGCTCATGCCTTAATCACCCAAAACGGAACTGATTATGCAATTTGGACCAAGGTAATGAACTTCTACAACTTTCTATCCATTTTACTATATATTTCTGATTTCTTTACCATCTTTATTTGTCCTACTCTATTGATTAAAAGGAGAGAATTTTTTTTTAGTTCTACGTGTTTTTCCATTTTTTTTTATGATTCTTTGGGGTTTTCTGTGTCAATATTTTGAAGCGAAACGGAACCTAATAAAATGTTTTTGGTGGAGATATCTTATTAATTTGACAAGTAATCAGTGAGTAATTTTTGTTCCCCAATTATGTCTATTTTGTTCAGAATAGTGCATCTATAGATTATATTTTGTTCTTTGTTTATTGTGGATTTTCTTTGATGTACAATTGGATTTTTAGATGGAAATTGTTAGCAAAAAATGGGCAATAACCTTAACACTCATCTTTACATCTTAGATCTTGTACCCATGGAAGCTGCTGAGAAGTGGTTCAAGTATCTTAGAGAGGAATTATCCACCGTTACTTCCAAGGTCCACTACTACAACAATGTTTTTTCAGACTTCAATATTGTGGAGCAATCACTTTGGCAAGCTGTACTGCATTATTTACGTCGTTTCAGCAATTCTCTAAAGAAGGTTTTTTCATTTACTCTACAAATATTTTCAAATGATGATTCATAATTTCTCTTTCAATGACTTGACCTCCACTTTCCTCGGCATGCTGGAAGCCCACTTCCTTTGACTTGCACACCTATAAAATTTGGTGGTTGGATGGTGGGCGATCGAGATGAAAATCAAAATGTGACAGCAAAGGTGATACTTTAAGTACTGTTGTTTAATTTTTTTTTTCTTTTCTTTTAACTAGACACTCGCGGGTTACAGTTTGTTGAAGCATACAAATCTATGCAAATCTCACTGGAATTGGTTTTGCAGTATTCTCTTTCAAAGAACCCTGAATTCATCTTACAACTTACAAGAAGAATTATGTCATCATGGTATGATCATAGGTTTTTCTTTTTCTGGTTTCAGGTGACAAGAGATGTATCTCTTTTGTCCAGGTGGATGTCTATTCACCTGCACACACATGAAATTGATAACCTCAAATTTGAACTTTCTAGGAATCAATGTAATGATCATTTATCTACTCTGGCACATGAGATTCTAGAAAATGTATGTGATGTCAATGTTCTTTGTACATTACTGCTTTTCTTTTATAAAGGTTGTTCATAATGTTTCATTTTGTCTTGAGAGGTTGGATGAACTTGTGAGTCATATGAAAATTATGTGCTGGAAGAGAATTGCGTCTTTTATTATTTGAGAATGTAGTCTTTACCATAGAATTAACTATAATTGGATATTATCATCTTAGCATGTGTAGGAAGAAATAAATAGTAGCAGTGCATGTAAGCATGAAAGGTATAAAAAAATGTCGTAACTGTAGAAAAATAGCATTTTTCGTTTGGATATGTAAATGAATCTCAAACACAAAAGCTTTATTTACAATTTTAATTCTCTATCCAATTCACTCTTGACTAACTTGAGAGTTAAATTTAGCTGTAATCTTCTACTATTAGATCTTTTGAATTTGGGCTCTTTTTTTACCCTTTTGATTTGGGCTGAGAGAGAGTAGGGCCCTTTTTTAAATATTAGGCCCATATTCTGTGCTCTTTAGCTCCAAAAATGTTAGAATTTCATTGACCTTTTGAGGTTTTTGAGTAAAAATTCAAGTTTTGCAGTGAAAAATAGGCCAGCAAAGGTTATGGCTTTAGTGAACACCGCTGAAAAGCTGTCTACGGTGCCGGAGATAGTGCTGTAGCCTGCAACCCATCAAAGACATCGGGTACCGTCAAGTTGTCGGGATCAAAATCTCTCTCTAACCGCATTCTCCTTCTCACTGCCCTCTCTGAGGTAATATTATTGTATATGTGAAGATATGATCTTTTAATTTGAGTGTTAAATATGAGTCTATTTGGTGATTATGAAAGCTGGTTTTGCTTGTAACTTTATTTTACATTGGAGGGATATGTGATTGAGCATTAAGTGTGAATTTGTAGTCTAATACTGCAATTAGTGTAGGGAAAAGTTAATAAATAATAAATTGTCTGATAATCAAAGGAGGATCTAATGTCAAGTGAATATTTGAAACGTTAGAAATTAGATAATCCTTGTCATTTACTAGGCACTACTAGGAAACTATTGGATTTGGTTATTACCATAATTAGATTGAGAGGTTAGAGTAGTTAATGAAATTATATTCTTTAACATGCTGTAAGAAATTTTGTAATTTGGTAGGAATGATGCACTAGATCCCTTACGGGAAGTAATTCATGGTTTAAGGAATAACGGTGGGAGTGTCTTGTTATTATAATCTAAATTTTTTTTGACAGGTTTAATTAGATTTGTTGGAGATGTTTGTGCTCAAAGGTTGCAATTTTCTTCAAATCATTGACTTGTGCTTCTGCCTTTATTGTATGATTTTCAGTCATCCAATCTAAGACCGTCTCTACAAAATCAACTTTCATATCAGGGCCCCCTGCCCAATGTCAACGTCACTGCAATATTGGAAAAAGCAAATGCAATCTACCAGGTCCATCTCTCTCACCCTCCGACCACACCTGAAACAAGATTTTAACTGCAACATAACTTGTGACACCTCAATGACCATATTAGTCTCCAATTTAAGAACTCCCACGAAAGAGAGAAGCAAAATCTTCCTTTAGCACCCTTGCTATTTTTGTTCAAATATGTCAACTCAAAGTAGTTTATGCAAGAAGCTTTCAAGAGTAGAATGGGTGGGAAACTTTGCCAATTTTCTTCTTCAGGTTTTACTTTATGCATGCACTTCTCATTTTGGGCACTGCAGTAATTTCGATAGAATTTCTTCATTTCGATAGAATTTCTTAGCATTGTTGTATTTGTAACTAAAACAACTTCATCAGTATCTAAGTTTTCATTTTTGTTTTTCGTCATAAAGAACTTTTTCCTAAGACTTGTGGCTAGTTTTTGTGCACTTGTTACGGGGAGTCGATGAAGTAACGGGTCGTTTTATTTTTAAACATTTATTTAGGTTGATAGAGTTCTCTACTCATCGGTTGTCTATCCATATAATATGGTCTCTTCCAACAACTGATAAGTAATGGGTTAGTTTTAATTAGGGATGGGCAAAACCCAATCCAACCCAACGAAACCGCCCGACCCAACCTAACCCGACCGGGTTGGGTCGGTTTTTTGACATTTTTTGGTGGGTTTCGATTTTTGGGTTGAGTGGTTGGGTCGGGTTGTGGGTTAACAAAAAAAATCCCGCCCCAACCTAACCCGACCGGGTTGGGGCGGTTTTTTGACATTTTTTGGTGGGGTGCGATTTTTGGGTTGAGTGGTTGGGTCGGGTTGTGGGGTAACAAAAAAAAAACCCGATATAACCCAACCCAACCCAACCCGCTAACATAAAAAATAAAA